TGCCTCGAATGCAGCCCGTAAGTTGGTAGACATGGAGAAATCATGGAAAATATCTTCCTTGGACCAAAAACTTGCCCATGACCACTGTCGATATTGATTCAGCCACACTTTCATTCTTAAATAGGTTCCTACGGACACACTGTCGGTGTGTTGCTGCCACTAAGTGCACAAACTAGGGTGCTCTTTGGTCTTGTATTTGTGTGCCTTTTGCGCGGAATGTGTTGTCGCAGTGCTGCTCCACCTCCAAAAGGCACGATGGACTCGGTAACACACGCATTACTATGATGCCTTTAAGTTCTCTTGAAATTTCTACTGATCTTCGAGATGTTGTCTCAGCATGCAGAACTTCTCTCGTCAGTTTTACTGTTTCGGCGAAATAAAGATGAGTTAGCAGCTTTAAATGTTGGTATCTCGTAATAAATTGAGATCCAAGAGACCTGTACGAGCCTGATTAGAAGTCTGATAGTTTGTTTTCAAAGTGATATTTACAAACCACTGATTCTTCTATACTTTACAATTGATATAATGAGTCGTCTGACACACGGTCATCACGCATGGTACTGATCTAGCTACCTGGAAGAAATCATGTCTTTCAATTTTGAATAAAAGTATCTAAGGTTAGAGCGCCTAATTTATTGGAATAAAAAGCAAAAGAGTTTCTGCAAATATATCAAATTTCTTTATCCTTCAAGATAAGATTGGTTTCTGGTGCCCAGAGAACGGACTTTATTCTCGATGCTTTTAATTCAAACTGAAAAGTGAGTGGACAAGTGACGTTCCATAACGTGTTGCTGATGTTTGTGGTTGCAGCGCTTGTTTCTTAAACTTTGAAATTTGGAACTCATTCTTTAATTTTTGGAGATTTGGATTTCAAATAGAGCTAACACGTCTTGTAGTAGTTCCCACAACCGACTTTCTATTAACCTCGGCATTGATCGAACAATTTTTTATATTTATTTATATAATTTTTCATATTCTTCTTGGGCAAACGCGAGGTTTTATTTCACTTCTCTATTTACGAACAAGCTGGCGTTTCGGCGGATTTCGCCTTCATCATTGGCTGGAAGGGTCAAGTTGATCGCAGTCTACACAGCCAAACACCTCCAGAACCAAACAAAGAAAATGCTAAACCAGGAGTTCAATCAAATTGAACACAGAAAAGCTTTCTCGCACATTCACCGCTTTCTATGAGTTTCCCAGTGTGTACGTCACGTGGAGGCCAACCGCATAGAGTTCACATTGAAGAGCGATGTGCCTTTCACTTTAGAATAAAAGGCTTAAATACTGTCCGATACCATGCGTGATTATGACGTATTCCTTCCTGCGATTAATTTTCGGATCCCTGGAGTTAATTCAGAGTGCCTCGCGGGATTTGCGCGTTTGTGTCTCCGATTCCTGTGTGGCAATCGTAACTTCTACTTCAAAATCCTCCCTGTTATGTCTTTTAACACGCGCCCAGAGTAGTCTACCAGTTTCGCCAGTGTATTTGTTCCCGCACGCTTTACAAGAGATCAAATCAATTGTACTAGGACTCATACAATTACCATCTCTACCGTTAGGGCAAATTGTACAATTTTGCGTTGCGCATAGACGGTCGTACAGGCGGTTGCGAACTAGCTGGCGCCTTAGAGTGGTATTTCAATTGCTCTTACCGATTTCTCTAGACCGGCCGTTCTTGAGCAACTATTATTAGCAGTTTCAGGACTTCCTTCTGCTCTCGTCCTATGCACACGCTGGTTACTGTTCGAAACATCTTCTGTCCCGAAGCAGCTATAAAATGTTGCCTAAGAAGAGCCGGTGTAGAGAGTTCGGTAACCGCAGATGAAATACCACCCAGCACTCTAAAACGCCAATTTGTTTCAACTGCCTATATGACCGTCTATGTACAACACAAAATTGCATAATTTGCCCTAACAGTAGAGATGATGAATGCATACGTTCGGCTAGAGTTAATCTGATCTCTTAAAAAAACGTCAAGGACGAATACGTTTGGCGAAACAGGTCCTCTGCGCCCGATTAAAAGAACAGCTAGCTAGCAAACTTAAAGTTAAACTCAATACTCCGCTAGGCACGCATAGGACATAGAGACATAGCCGGGAAGATTTTGAAGTAGAAGTTATGACCCTAGCATAGGAATCAAAAACGCAAGCGCGCAAAACCATAGAAGCATTCTGGATTAAATCCAAGAATCAGAAAATGAACCACAGGTTAGAATGCCTCGTAATCACATGTGAAAATGGACAATATTTAAGCCTGTTATTCTGATAAGATGGGCACATCACGATCCCATGTGAACTCTGTGCGGTTAGTCTCCACGTGACATATTTAGTGGAAGACTCATAGAAAGCGGTGAGTGTGCAAAGAAGCTATTCTGTGTTCACTGTGATTGAAATTTTGTTTGGAATTTTCTCTGTTTGGCTATGGAGGTGTTTAGCTGGTTAGATTGCAGTCAATGTGACCGTTCCAGGCTCTCAGGAAGGTGAAATCCGCCGAAATGTCAATTTGTTCGTAAATAAAGAAATAAAATAATACGTCGTGTTTGCTCAACAAGAATATAAAGAATTTAAATAAAGATTTCCATCCGACGTATTTGCCGAGCTCTTAGTCAACCGACGATCAACTTACCATGAATTTACATTACGAGAAAAAGTCTTAGAAAACTAAACGGCTGCTGAAAATTTTGTACGGATTAAGCACTTGAAGAACTTCAGAATCGTCGGTTACCGAAGTATGTAAACTTGTGTATTCCTGACAAAAATATGCCGATTCCAATGGTCCTTGCTTTGGTTAATGAAGATACGCGTGGTCCCAATTGTAGTTTTCAAAATTACTGGCCAAAATCAGCAAAATATTTTATACAACTTAATAAAAAATGATTAATACAGCAGGAAAGTTCCGACAGAGTGAGGGAAATCTGACTGAGGAAGTAACCTGGTAGGTTGATTACGATGAAATCATTCAACAGGAAATGAATTGCGATCTTAACGGTGTCATACCGCACAATTACTAATAAAATGTCAGAACACAAATAAAGGACGGAAAAAAACTACCCAAAATTCAAATCACGCTAGGTGCGGACAACTGCAAAAGGTTATCCGTACGTGATAAACATTGCTTCCAGGTATTTGTTCATTAATAAGTTTAGATGTGGCGATTACAATTCATTATTGTGGAGAATTCAGAGATACCCTTTCTTTCATAGGCGCCATTATTCGAGTGATAACACCAGTTGCTTCTTCTCGAAATGTGGGTTGTTGTCCGACCGAGTAAGATTTAAGTGTGGAGCACCTCACCAATGAAGTTGAGCCACATAGCAATGCCCCTCTGTACAGTACCATTGCCGTGCTGAAAAATGATCTAACCTCATGTGGCACATCTCTAGCTAGGGAATGGTCGAACGGAATCATAGCTGACGAAAAACCAAAATTACTCGTCATTACAGTGAAAATTCGTCCTTCAGTAGCCTGATTCGTTCTTGTTTAGATGGGAGTCGCTGTATCCAAAAAAACTTAGAGCCTGCTACAGCACAAGGTCTGTAAAGTGGTACATTTCTGAAAAGCCAGGATTACTCTGTGAAACACTGCTTCCAGAACAATCACAGAAATATTTACATATGCAATTAACTACAAAAGCATAGAATTATACACAGCATCCTAGAAGTGTTTCACCATACTTAACCACTCATATTTTTTTCATTATTACAATTTACATCTTGATAACACTAAAGCGACCATTATGACTTCCCACTGGGGTATTCGAAGTGATTCTTCTAGATGAAGCCGAATTAGAACAAGATCAAACCATTCATTGCAATTTCTTGATATGTCTGATGCAATGTGTCAAATACTGTGAATATCATATTTTAATTTACACACTGTAGAACTTGATAGCTCGGAATATTTATTGAAATACTCAAAATCTAATTAGCTCTACAATAGCAACAAAAACGGCACACAAGGCGTAGGCCTCCCATTTAACAAAGAAAGAAAGATCACATGTTTGGGTGATCGCAAATAAATACTCCACACAAAAAAGTACATGTGGATTGTCCTTAAGGGAGGCAGTAGTACGCACAAAAGTACAGGAAACGCCCACGGTTGAACGAATGCCCAAAACTAACACTTCTTTTTCCAAATTTTTAAGGTTTATAATATCCTCTAGATGGCTTATAATTAAGTTATGCAATTAGTAGGCTTTCAAGGCATAGTTGCACAGAAATTTGAAAAAGAAAAACAAAACAAGATCATAACTAATATAACCAATTCCTAAACAAAAGCCAGAACTGATGATCATAAGAGCAAAGCCTCACATTGCAATAATTGTATAATTAGCTCAACAACAAAGAGCAAAAATAGCGATAAACACAAATAATGAAGATGAGAAACAGAAAACCACAGCGAAACATCCTGATGAATGAAACAGCAGTGGTTTAACTGAACTTCTTGCAAGTACTTGTGCACTAACAGTTTTAAATGTGGTGAAATAATCAACCAAGCGATAGAGACATATGCCGTACTTTCACAGAAAATAAGAAACGATACTCTAAAGACGGAAAACGAGAAAACACAAGAAGAAAAAAGAAAAAAAACTTCCGTCAACCGGCGACATCAGTCCAAAGGCTCTAAGTTGCGTGAAGAAGCGGCAAAACAGCGGACACATAAAACCAGTACCAAGCGAAATGGATACATCTCATACTTACTTTCTACCAAATGCTCACGAACTAGAATTTATCCATTCTCCATTACCTACCGACTACGTTGCGCACATACTCCATGGAGGGTCAAACAGATAACTCGATGTCAACTCGTGACACAGCACTGACTAGTATAAAAGACTAGTGTTGTCTTAAATCCTACTAAACCATTTTATTGTTCGATACGCTAACAAACCCAGAAAAAATCTCGCAAGTTCTGCCCTTAATGATCATGACTAGAGGACAATTCTGGACTAAAAACTATTTGTATTTGAAAAACAAAGACCGGAAGCGACGTGCCTAGAAGCTAAAACAGTTTGTGTTTGCGCTTCAAATTGATGCGTTTCCATTCCGGTAGTTTGTAGAACTCAATAGGACTCATTCCAAACAACTTTTCGAACTCATCGCGTGCCAAGTGCCGCTCCAAATGCTGCCTAAAACGCAAACGATATTCGAAACCGATAAACAAACTAAAAGTGGCGTTACTTTTCCAAGAAACACGACAGAATTCACAGTACAGTACGGATTTCTTCCTATTAGAAACCGTGATCCACACAGCAGCTCATGTCATAAAATGTGAGATATTCCTTGACCACATACCTGTCGGCATCTTCTGGCAACTTCTTATTTGTTGTTTGAAGATCAGCAAGATCATAGATCTTAGCAGGCTTACTCATATCAGGAAGCGATGAGCGGAGTATTGGACGCACTTCGCAAACTGCTCTCATACCAACACCTAATGTGCCCGCCAGGGAATCTGTATTGAAGCACAAATAGGAAAACACAGAAAAAGCACTAAAATTTTTTCTTAGTTGAACACTTACGGTCAGAATATTGACTACTGATGGTAGTATCCAAATTTTCCATCGATAAAGTTCCATAATTATACCCGGATGGAAGTGTAGCGGCGCGAACGGTACTTCCTAGACCGATACAATTACTAGGACAATTTATCTTACTGGAAAAATATTTAATGTTCTGTTTCGTGCCGCTAGTGCGAACAACAATAACTAAATTTTTAAAGACAACTACAACTAATACCACATATCAAGATATCCACTACCTCTGCTCTCAGGAACATGGAAGCAAGGCAGCGTATTACCCTGTGATCGTTCACCACCTTGCCAAGCAACCCAAGGTCGCGGACGATTAAGATGACGTGATGGTGCTAAACAATCGCGATAAGTGTGTCCAGTGATGTCGTAAAAAAAAACAAATCAATGAGTTTTACGCACATGCATTGATTGGAACATCATAGCGAAAACGCAAATGTGGCATCTTCTTTGCCGATGGTGTGCGACTAGCATTACGAGGGTCCCAATGGAGTGGTAGCCTAGAATGACACAACTTTTCTGCTGAATAAAAGCAGTCGAGAATAACTCTCAAAGTCACCTCTGCTTCTTGTGGCTCTCTTCAATATTCTGTTTGATGACATGTGCGATAGACGAGTCGTCAAACTTCTCCAGTTGCTCAACTGTCTGAAAAAGTGACGCTTTTTCCGTCTCGCGTGCTCTCTCTCTAGACGTATATATATACATACATATATATATATATATATGCACATATATATATCTATGTAGATATGCATGCACTTGTATATATATATATATATATATGCATGTACATAGATATGTGCACAGACGTACATATACGGAACGATTGGAAAGTAACTTTCTATTTTGAAATATTTATAAACTACTAATCTATTGTGATGCCTTTCTTAAACTTTCTGTGGAAGTTTCCCAATGCATGGGAATTAAATTAATTTCGCAATTTTCTTCCAGACCAGACATTTGCTTGAAGTTTGGGAACCCTATAGACAAGACTAAGCTTCCTATACTGCCGAAGCGTTCCCACTCAGCCTCACATTAAGAAAATTGGACATCTGTTATTTAAGTGCAAAGAAAGTACAGGATCATTAAGTGAAGATATACTCAAGCTAACGCAAACACGATCAAGGATTGTCGTGCAAAACTTATGGCTCTCCTGTCTGTGAGTGATACTCGAACAAGCGGTTGCTCTTCCAATTCCAGTTACAGGGTCGGAGCACTTGTTGTTAAAATAATGTTCACCCACAAAGTCGAAAAAACCAAGTAGATAGGTAGCTATGGAAAGTGGGCTCTCCATTCACTGTGCACTAACTGTGCACAAGAAAGAGATTAAATGGCATACCTAAATGGATACTGTTGATCATTAACGGCCAAATGCATACGTCCATAGGAGACTGACAGGCCATCTTTGTCAGCCAGTACCCATAATTTACCATCCAGTGAGTTAAAAGCCATAATTATGCACACAGTGAGCTATTTCGGTGCGGTTCATTAAACACACAGTGAGCTATTTCGGAGCGGTTCATTAAATAGCAATTGTACTTCACCAATCCAACGACTTTGGAAGAACTTTAAGGGTGTATATGAGAAGCTGTGTTTCTACCATACAAGCGTTCCTGGTGAAACCAGTTGATTCACTTAACGTACTGTTCCAAAAGCTGGTGCTGAACACCGGTAACCACCACCGGTCACCTGTCGCCTCGCTTATCGTCCAGTGAGTCGAGCGGACGGAAGCACGTCTTCCAATTTTTCCTGTCGTGTGCAAGAGAATTCCAGTGGGATGTGCTCGCTCTAAGCACTTGGGCACCAGACCTTTCCTTTAGGCTTTTCACGAAGAACTCTTACCATCGGTTCGGTGGTCTCCCTGCACTGCGTTTAACATCCCGAGGATTCCAGTCACTAACGGTTCCTGTCCAGCGGTCATCATTCATACGCATTACGTGTCTAGCCCACCTTATCTTCGACAATTTGGCGTACTGAACGGCACTGTTGATATCTGATCGCTGAGACAAGTCGGACCTTCGGATCTCTTCAATCATTTATGTGACACAAGATACTCCCAGCATGGCTCTTTCAACTATACGTTGACTAGCATTGAGTGATCTTTAATCCTGATTACGCATGGACTAGATTCCTAACGCGTACATTAAGGCAGGAAGTACCGTTGAGTGGAAAAGGTGGGCAAGCAGTCGTATACTCTTCGTACTCTTCACTATATCCCTGATACTCTTGAAAGTTCCCCAAGCCACTCGTTTCCTTCTGCTCAGCACTGGAGCTAAGTCGTTCAATATGTTGATTTCCCGACCTAGAAAGATATAACTGGAGCATTCAGAGATATTCGTTCTGTAGAGCGCGAATGGAGCATTCAAAACCAGTCCGTTCTGCATGAACATCGTTGTCCTGAGATTTAATCGAAGACCAATCTTTCCACAGGCTTTAACAAAATCGGCAAGCATTCTTTCCGCTTGGCTAATGTTTGGCGTTATAAGGACGATGCCATCAACAAAGCGAAGGTGGTGTAACTGCCAACTGTTGACTTAAACTCCCATATTTCCCCATTCCAATGTTGGCATAGCGGATCACGGCAAATGATTTTGGTCACATGGTACCGCCCTGCCTGTAGAACGATGACATCTTGGGTGTGGTTTTATACAGCTTACGAAAAATCTTTATATTCTGAGTAAGGTCTCCCTGAATGTCCAAGGTTTCCACGACTGCATCTATCCCAAATGAGTGAAAAGCCGTCTTTTAAACAATGAAAGTGAGACGGAGCGATGTTTTGTACTCTCGCGATACTTCAGTGGATCTTGTTATCACGTGGATGCGGTCTATCGTACTGAATCCCTTTCGAAACCCTGCTTGGTTATATGGTAGTCCATGGTCCAACGTTCTGTCAGTCCTGATTAGGAAGAAACGAGTGAAAGTTTCTAAACAACAGACAGCAAGCAGATTGGGCCATAGTTGCCGATATCGCAGAGGTCACTCTCCTCAAGCAAAAGCACGATCCTGCCGGTCTTCCACAGAAGACGAACCTCAGACAGGTAACGCATGAACATCCGAGAAAATGTGTTGATGAAGACTGGCGGAAAGTTCTCCAGCTGCTCAGATCTTATCCTATCCGCACCTAGTGCTGTTCAATTTTTCACCAACGAAACACCACGTCGGATTTCGGAAGGAAAAATCGGTGGTACAACATATCCATCCTCCTTTATTTCACATGACGGAAAGTTGACGTGGCTATTGAAGAAATTTGAGTAGTATTCGTGAAAGATTTCCTCCATTGCTTCTTTGTACGTTGTAACTGTTCCGTCCGGGCGTCGGAGTGCTATCATCTTGGTCTTGTAAGTGGCCAAGCTTCGGTGGGTTTTGCGAATGCTTGTCCCAGCCTCTGAAACTTCGATCATTACTGCTGCTCTTCTATCTCTAAGATTTTTTATCGCCTGTCTACACTGTTTTGCAAGTTCGGACGTTATTTCGCGGTTGCCTGCAGCTCGTGCGATTCCACGCTGGCGTATCAGCTCGAGTGTTCCTGTATACTAACGTCTCATGGTGACTTTTGAACTCTCAGCTTTCATAGCGCTAACGTGAAGATGTTGAATGAGCCGATCGTCTTCTTCGTGGATATTATCGACAACGGCATCTTTCCCAACTGCCCATTAATGAATTGAATAAATCCCACTTCACGGTGGTTTTGGGACCTTAGTTTTTGAATTAAGCACCATTTTCTCCTTTCCGCTAGGAAAACAGAATTGCACGAAGGACGTGATGGTCTGCTCCCGTGTAGAACCTTCGTAAAGTAGTAACATCGGTTAGGCTAAACCTTCGATTAACTTTCGACGTGGTCTATCCTGTTATGGTACTCACCACTGCGGGATTCCCACGTCCAACTTTGAGGGTGGGGCTTCTGGAATTGTTAGTTACCAAGAATGGTCCGGGTGGTCATGATAAACTCAGATTGTCGCTCACCTGCTCGTTCGATTCTAATCTGTGGATCCCAATGTGACGTTCTTAAGAGTCAAATCTTAACGTTAAAATCTCTAAAGATGACCTTGAAGAATGTATGGTCTTCTTTGTAGAACCTCTTTAAGTCCATACAAAACGCTTCGACTTCTTTTTCGTCATAGCTCGGCGTTGGCGCTAAACGACGGGTATTGTCAAAGCTGGTATTTATCCACATCTTTTTAAACGTAAACGTCCCGATTCGAGTTGTAAGTTGTTCGAATGAATCGATGTTCGTGGATAAACTCGTGTTGACGAGAACGCCGACGCCGCTGACTCCTCTACTGTCGCACCTTCCGAGAAGAGCTCTTCTCCAGTGTCGCGGATGACGTTGAATTGGTGCTGTATTCTCGTCTCGGCTAGTCCGATAACGTCACACTATATCCTTTTTGCTTATGATCGTCTTCCATCGAGAACTCAGATACAAGTGCACGTGCATTATAGGTACAGATCGTCACCTTAATCCTTTGCGATTTAGGCAGCTTAGGATGGTCCTGCGATTTTCGCAGCCTCTCCGTACTCGCCCTACCCACCGTTGCCGAATCGAGAGCTCTTTCGGCGTCAGAGGAATGAGGCCCGTTTATTCCACTGTGTTTAGCTTTTTAACACTTACTTACAGCATGCTGAGCGCTGAACGTGAGGGCTGTGTAAACTCATAGGTAGAAGATTCGCAGTCTCTTCCAGAGTAGACATGGATGGACAGCACACCCACACACGCATGCATGAATACGCCTCGTAAATGCAAAAAGTAGGTGCCAAATGAGCGCAAGAGAAACGGAGTTTATCCCTTGGATGCACCTGCTTCTCAGGGAAACATTCGCGTCTGGTCCGTGATTAACCCCCTGGGGACGCCAACTGGGGATGCGCCATGTAGCCTCGCGACTAACTGGCTCGAGATCGCTCATATAAGATAGATCCATGGGACCGTGCTCATAGTAAATTATAAACAAAACTCCATGCGATACCCTTTCTTCCCATATTTAACCGTTGTAAAGAATGTAATTAAGAAGAAAATATAGGAATTTTAATTATCGCTACTTTTCAACCGCTCCATACATAAACATATTGTTCAGATATCTATAAATACATGCATTTAGACATATGCATATACATGCGTATGTATATACACATATACATACGTATATACATACATGTATATATATGTATATACACATACATATATACGTATATACCAGCCATTTTTTCAGAACAACAAACTTGGTAATTCAAACATATTCAATAACAAAACGACAAATTATAAGGCACCAACAAGAACGAAAACAGAAGTCGCTTACTTTCTTTAACTTATCTTCGTCAATTCTTTCACTCTCTGATAATTCATCGTCCGAAATTTCATTCTCTATCGAAGATGAAGAAAGACGTTTTTTCAGTTCTAAATAATCGGAATACATTAGCAACACATGTGGACTGTCAACCAGTAAATACTAAAAATCAACCTTCAACGGCATACGGATAAGGAGGAGCTGGAAAATCATCTCGTTCAATTGCAGGAAGCTAAATCCAGCATGAAACAAAGATACTCAAATTGTTTGTAATAAAAATAACTAAAACGCGACAAATAAAATAAACTAGGCAAGACATATCCAACTAAAGTTTGCGAAAAAGTGATTTGAAGAGCATCGTTTGAAGACTGTACCTTGTCAGGATCTGGAGCATGGCCAGCCGGATAATGCGCCATTTCAATCGGTTCCTCGTTATCCATATGAGGGGATTTCGGTCGAGGAACATTCTTTTCAAGATCCTCCGCTAAATGGAATCAACATAAAGGAATGCGCCATTGGCTATTGCAAAGAAAACTGAAGTTCAGTACAGCAAAACGTTTATATCATACATAGATATACACACATATATGCACATATATATATACGTATACGTATATATGCGTGCATGTGTAAAAATGCACATGTGTACATATATATGTATATACAAGGAAACAACATCGCACAACGAAAAAATTTGGGAACAATTCCACTTACTGAGTCGTTGCATCCCGGTTTTGAGCATGGAAACCCGAGATTTGCGAATCTTTATAGGACCTCAAACAAACACGATAAACGAGAATCTTGTACATAACACAATTTGTCTCATTAGTAAAGTAGAAAACTTCGAGTTATAAAACCAATGTGTAAGGTACTTCTCGACAAGATACAAGCAAGATATGTTGCAAAACCTTGCCTTGAGGAACATGAAATTGTGGTGCATTTGGTTCCTTCGGATTTGTAATCGGATGACGCAAGTAAGTCTGTTCCGCTTCTGGCAGAAGATACATATAGGTGAGATGTTGTCCAAATGTTGATTGATACTTCGGTTCATTACGCGACGATAACGAAGCGTTTTTCGCCGAAGGCTGGAACCAGTTACAATGGAAACGCAAGATGCATTCAATTATCGTAGATGAATGCACACTTTGAAGATCTAACATTCATAACGCTGCTTCCCTACACGAACTTGACCATTCTTTCAGACGATTTTAAGTTTTTGACGTTCTACTTCTCAATTTTTTCCGATAGGAAACTTCGCTGGCTCGAGCCTTAATGTTTGGGTAATTTCCTCCACTAAAAAATGTCACTGATAGAAAAAATATTTATCTACTTCAACGGTGAAAACACCTTGGCAATGTATTAGCCCACCTATAAATATGTCTAGAACAATTTCCAAAGAGATTAAAAATGACTTTTAATACTTTGGACGAAAGCGCGGCAGCAGCTATCATCATCGGCACATTCGAGGATATCACAGCATTCTAATGAATGAAACCCGACCGCTTAATCGATTCGCCATAAAAGATATAAATTTTCTTGAACCGCAAGATCTACAAATTTTTGTTACAATTAAAGTTCGCCATGAGTTAAAGCATATTTTCTTAAAGTGGAAAAGCGCGAGGAATTTCATCCACAATGTGCACCGTTGCAAATTTGTTAAAATCCTGTTCGGCAACGAATATGCTTGAGGTCCAAATGATTGGACTGCCGTTATGATTGGTTGTACACTCTTCATCAGACCCTGCTTATTACACAGTTTATAAGTGTAAACCAGTAAAACAGCTACAAGAGACTACGAGAATATAAACATAACTACATTTTGCGTTAATGGTTTGCAAGTAGTGCTCCGACTAGAAGATGCTAAAAACGCGTAAATTTTGTGAAATAAAATAAAGAGAAACAGGACAAAACAAAGCAAAATCAGTTGATATCAAGCCCCATACCGCAATATTTTCCGTGGTTCGAGCGTGTTCACACGACGGATGCCATATTTCATCGCCTTGCATATACATTTCCTCTCCGTCCCCAAAGTGCGACCCACATCTGGAACATCTTGCACATGTCGGGTGGAACTTATATCCACCTGCCTGAAACAATTGTGACACCACATCCGAATTCGCTCTCAACAATGTAATGGAAGATCCACGAATTTCAGTACACTTCCGACATTACATGAGATAAAAATAGAAAAACAAAACTCCTGCAATCGAAAGCGTATCTTTCCAGACATGATCTATTCCGCATGCAACTACGCGGATAAAAAGGCGTTTTGTATTTCAAATTTATATGTACAACAGCCCCAACAGTACATGACATCTGGCCGTCAGCACCATCATTTTTAACAACGAAAGGGAATATCGTCACCTGTAAAACTTTTCCAGCGATAAATTTATGGCATTCGTAGCATTTAACCCCATGTTTCTCGTTGTAGTCTCGCAAGCAAAGCGGTTTGCCATCGTGCGACATATACTCTCCATGCAGTACCGCTCCACACTCACTGAAAAAATAGTAGTAAATTAAAAAGAAGAGTATTAAAACAAAAATGTATACCTGCACTTGAAACAGTACACATGCCATGAAAGACCGAGAGCAAGCAGAACCTGACCAGAATGAAGTGGTTGTCCGCAAGCAGCGCAGTCTGCTAAACACTTAATATTAGTATTAAACAGAAACATACGTCAAATCAAGACTATGTATCACTAAAAGATTTATGACCTCGACTATGAAGCTCGTAGAAACTAATTATTTTTCGCAAAACTATGTACCACCTAAGATTAGGAAGCTACTAAAGCTAAATTACTTCACTACTTCTAGTACTGCTACAAGAACGTGGGAAGCACTGTTCTTCAAGTGAAAGAAGGAATAAAGAGTATAGAGTGAACAGATTTCGCCTAAAGTATTCTAAAAGAATAAGAGAAACCTAGTTAAGACAAAAGAAAACTAGAAAGTAGTAAAACACAAACTGATTTAGATAGCAAAATTCTTGAAGGCTACAGAAAAATAAAGCTCTCGGCGTTGATCAATCCCTAAGGGATGCGACATGCATTCAACTTCATTAATCATCGTTAAAAGTGAGTGGTTGCATATTTGGTCTATAAAATGACTCGCGATGGCCTACCGATGTATCGGGCCAGTGCTGCTGGTCTCCCGGACAAGTCCGGTACCAATTTTCCGACCCCAGAGGGATTGACGGCTTGGTGATGAGCCTGGGAGACGGATATCGATACCATGTGTAGTTCAGGAAGTATCCAACCACTGCGCTCCAGCTTTTATAGTCACCAACAACACTGCACTCGCTAAAGATAGTGGTACAGTGGAAAGTGGAATGGCTACCACTTGAACACAAGGTGTTACCAAGTGCAGCTGTCCTTCGTCGACCAACATCTTTCTCTATCACTTTGAGGTAACTTAGCAAGGAATTTCTAACGAGCGAATTGGTACAACCCTGTCGATAAAGTACACACACAATTCACTGCATAGTTCAAATCTACACAGATCGCACCAGAGCTTGTGGATGGAACAAATGTGATGGCCCATTTGATAAACACCACAAACTCTGTCGTTCTTCCCATTAAGTCTGCTTTTTTTTCACTGGCAAGAGCCAAAAATCCATAAAGAGTTATATGTAACGCAGATAGTTGTATCCACTCCAAGTGTTTCGGAGCCTCAAACTTCATTCCATGTCGAATGTAAAGCTGTTAATACTTTTATCCTAAAAAAAAAGAAGACAAAGAATGGATACAACAGCTCTTTTTTACGAAAAAAAAACTTCTTTCTGTTACTTCACGATTGGTATTTAAAAAACCTATTGACAATAACTTCTCTACGGGCACATTTACCTCACTGTATGTCCAATAGCGATTGCACATATATAAACAGAAAAGCGTGAAGTAACACGAAATGACTCCAATGCCGTAATTTTCGTTTGGATTCTATCACAAATGAATGCCATCACATTCAACGTGAGGGTCGCAAAACTACAAAAACACAGGTCGATGGCTAACTAAACAGCGCTGCTGGACAAGCAGCTTCCTCATACTTCGGGAATTAATGCAAGATTTCAACTCGCACCTTTAAAAACTGCATCTCTCAGCTCAGAATTTTGTTAGTCGAAATAGAAACCATTAGGAGTTCCACACTTCTGCCAACTAGACACAGTTCTATCTATGCCGGCGTGAAATAATCTTGGAAGAAAACCTTAACACCAACGTCATAGTGTGCACTGCTTAACGCTTCCTTGACTTCAAATTAGGCTAATGTTCCAAATCGCTTGCGATGCAGCACGATCGCGTTTGAATATGCACGGATAAATTTTTCGAATTATAGCTCATATTAAAATTCAAGTATAAAGAGCAAAAGCGCATAAAGCAAACTTTTCACTCAAGTATAATTGTGCAGCATTGAAAAAAGTTAATGCTAAAACATATACAAGAAAAATAAAATTGCAAACTGTGCACTGATTTCCAAGCAACCTAACAATTCAGTAATGCTTGAGCACCACACCCAGTTCCACATGGCCGCGGCATCTAGCAAACGCCTAATTTTTCGTTGCGTTCGCCGTGAATTGAAATCAACTCACGCACGTCATCTACATTTTCACTTGCAAACCTTGCACACCATACTCATCAGCGGTAGCCTGTGCTACTTTTCGGCAGAAAAGAAAGCAAATTCGCCGCGGAACTCATGCAGATTACCATCCACCACAGTACCATTCTAATGTGTGATACTATCGCTACCACTGTATCTTTTTCATAAGCAAGTCACTGTAAACTGAAGATATCCGACCGAAAAAAGTTATTTGAATATTACTAGTAGTGAATAGCATTCCCGATCAGACGCTTCATGCATTCCTATAAGTAAGAGAGGTATCAATTGGAAGCACAAAGTACAGCAAAAAAAAAACTTGGGTTGAAAAACAAGGACGTGAAAGAAAACGAAATAATATCAAATCACGCCTGTCGATCTGCCTCCCTACATATGAAAAGAAATCTCTTCTGAATATGACTGCTAGAGGAAGATCATTCACACTACGGTCGCATGTACAACCGCCATATGTTTGTCCAATTAATACAATTACTCACACTGATTAAACGCAAATTACGTTAATATATGAAAAGCTGTAACATGGATAGCGTTAAAGATACATGTAGCACAAGTGCTAAGCACTAAAACGAAAACATGTTATGATATTGCCATTCGGATAAAACTCTGATTTATTCGCGAGTCTCTAATTGTTTCCGCTCCGATTTTAAGCTGGCGAAACTTAAAGCTTCCTTGTACTATTTCCACTATATTCGTAAAGAAGTAATCATTATGTTTCTTTTTTTTTTAAGAAGTTGTAATGCACTTTCAAAGTTGCATCTTACAATGGTGAAAGAAATCTATGACAAATAATAAACGATTTAAGCACCATCCCATAATAAGTAATGGAAGCGTACTTATGAATACCTACTAATGTTCACAGACAAATGCTGTTCATTGTCTCTCTACACCTTTGGCATAATTGCCTCCGTCTTCCGCTTCCTCATGGTGAGAAGCGACATAGTAGTGTTAGGAAAATACAGCTTAAAAAACCTAGCGAAGCAAATGATATACCGGCAGGAGATCCTAACGGTGATGTTTGTCCATCCTTTGTGTTGTTAACCGCTTGCTCGCCATTGACTGCCGTCGGCCTCGTGGCGCCATCTGGTGTTTTAGATGCCGTTGGTTGTGTGTCACCTCGTCCGACAGCTCGATAGTCTTCGGGACAAAGATACGAGCCATCAGTACCCGTATAAAATCCAGACTCACCAAGCGGCCTTGAGCATTCTAGAAATAGAAGTAAATGCATTTATGTCGGCAATATCGCAAACTATAAGTAGCAGAGCCAGCAGTAAAGGAACAATTTAAAGGGTGGATTGCGCGATCTGGAACTAGTAGAGTCACAAGGTCGCAAGAGCGATGTGTTTGTATTGGAATTCTCAAAATACTGTAGTCGGATCTTGTAACTGACGATAATAACACGTCTCCGTCATAACCCAACACAATCGTGACTCCAGAATACGACAAAGCCCCTTGAACACGTTGACAATGCAACAAAACTGGCTAGACTAGGCTAGAAATTTTGAGAATAAGTACTGAAATATGCTGGTCACTTGAACCAAGCACCATCATTTAGAACTACTTGTAAAGAGAAAAAGGGAAAAAGAAAAGAGAAGAAAACTTGAAATCACTAAAACATAAAAGAATAATACATACGTTTACATTTGAAACACTGAATGTGAAAATACTTGTTATTCGCTCTCAGTACGTCACCGGAACACTTCTTCTTGCAGAATTCGCACTTCTTCGCTAAATCAACACCACGCTTCGCTTGTATGAAATCACAAAGAAAAGGAAAAAGAAAAGGAAGCTACTGTGAAGATTTTCATTCAATCAACTAGAATAAAGAAGATAAGGCCAAAGGAAAAAAAAAACCCAGATTATTCGCAATGTCGGATAAATGCCAAACCAGGGTTTTATCGTAGTATTATGGGTGCTTGTACGTAGTGTTAGTAAAACAAAAGTGGTAAAAAAAAGTAGTGAAACACCACAAACAAGTATCCAACTAAACCTAGTTTTATTTATGTTCATAAGAGAACTCTGAACCAAACAACATGAAACCTTGACTAAAGGAATTACAAAGTTCTCTAAGAAGCTGACACCTTAAACGTTAAAACATATGGAATTGGAACTTTCGAGAAGGAAAAATATCCATCATGGATTACTAAGGAACCCAAATTACCCACTAAACTCTTTCAAGTACAGCGAAAATCTACTGTAGCTGACAGTTTTTGGTGAACAGCTGATCATTTTGCCTAGTCATTTTTCAGAACGTTAACGAATTTAAACTAGCTAGTGGTACATACGTCGGAATGGCTCACCTGAACAACAACGAAAACAACAATACTGCGACACTTTCGTCATAAGCAGGGACTTTGGACTGGATTCTAACTAACTGATGTGGACTCTACAGTCAAAATGATGTCACGCTAAGATTCTGATATCAGCTTTGGCTTACTGCATTCTGATAAGATGTAAAGTCGTAGTAACACATCCAGGATAGAACAAGTCGCTTGCTGGCATAACTTATCACTCAGTGGGTTTTCGCACGCGTTAATCGATAAGCGTGTAGTAAAATACGGATTGGATAGTAAGTTAAGTAAGATTCTAATAAAGTAACATACCCATTGGTGTACCTCAAGCGTTCGCCGGTTGCTATCGTGTCCGTCGTTCGTCGTCGAACAGTAGTGGCCGCCCCGTCGTCTCTTTTTGCAGCTATGCAGCAGCAGTAGTTGCACGCGCTGCGCGCCCCTTGCTGCGACGCGCCAATCGATATCTCGATGACGACGACTGCAGCGGCAGCGGCAGCGGCAGCGGCGGCGGCAGCGGCGGCGGCAGCGGCGGCGGCGGTGATGTCTGGTGTGTCTGCTCACCAATTGGACCGTCACCGATCAATAGTGGAACCATTTCTTCGAAGATCCGAACTACCGGTGTCCGTCCATCTAGGAGGGGGAAGGCGCTTTCTAACTCCATCTCTTGAACTGCCATGCAGTTGTGTAAAATGAGCATGTTGAACATCGTTATGTGTCATTATTGCAGCGAAGTGAAATAAATCACTGATTGGTAACAGATGGAAGCAATCTCCGAATCTATTAGTAGCTGTCCATATCTACTTCCTATCTCAAACGAAGCGTAAGGATTTCATGGACTGCAGTTTGTGATAAAAGGACAAAGGATAAAGCTCTCGGCGTTGATCAATCCCTGGGGGATGCGCCATAGATTCGACTTCATTAAGAATCGTCGTTAGAGGTAATCGAATGCTTATCTGACCATTATAATAATTCGAGATGGCTTACCGATATATCGAGCCAGTGCTGCTATCCTACCAGACAAGTTTGGTACCAATTTGCCGACCCTGGAGGGATGGAAGGCTTGATGAGCTTGGAGCGCGGGGATCGGTCTTATATGTATTACAGGGCACCTCCGACCACTGCGCAACACGCGCCTCCCATTTTATGATGCGAGAGGATTAGGGATGAAACTTCCAGGTCTGCTCAATTCTTAGAGGATGCGAAACCAACTTCATCAAGCATCGCAGACGTCGTTGAATTTATATTTGTCATACACAGTAACTTACAATGTCGATGTATGTATAGTATCAGTTCTCCTATGCTCCCAAATAAATGTAGTAATTCGCCGACCCCGGAATGATGATGAGGATCGAACCAGAGAACGCCCTATTAGGCTGTACTGTATCTCTAACTGGTACACTACCCGTAGCCCCATTTGAGGTGTATAGACAGAAGATCCACCTATTTCAGAGTCGCCCATGCTAAAAACAAATCTAACCACGGAACCAGCCAGGTGTCCATTACCTGTATCCAGGAGAGCGTATGACACTTTCAGAAGTCTTTATTAAATCTTTATTAAAATCTGATGTTTAACCACAGTGAAAAAGATCCGCATGGCGTGGTGGTAAACACGCTAGCACCCAGAAGGGGTAATAGCGTGTTGGATCTCCACGCCAAACACCTGCGTTCCAGAGTTTACGAATATTTCAGCATCACCGTGTTGTACCTCACATAGTACCCTGACGTGAAAAAATTGTAGTGGGCAGTAAATAAAAAAAAGTCAACATTCCGATGTTTGAGTTTGAAATATGTAAGCAAACAATAAGCGGATCAGTTGAGATCAATGTTGTTTCAACGGATCATTTCTCATCTTACGGCTACCTAAAGCGTTTAATGAGAATGAATAACGACTTGAAGCTTTTCCCAGCCTCTTAAGGGTACCATAAACCAGCTGAAATCCACTTCCGAACTAAATTTTCGATTCCCCAATTTGCGGTACTCTTATATGTAACTGTGACACGGACTGGCATCTCATCTTATGTGCAAATATTGCACACTGGCCTATAAATAATTGAATGATTCTTTCTGAAATAGAACCAGCACACATAAACTCAGACCTCATAATTTAAGATCTCCGAGAAATATATTATTTTGCCGACCCAGTTAAGTAATTGGATGTGTCGACGGTATATGGCAAGGGAAGCGATATTTTTAAAACGAGAGGATGGAAGCGTGTTCGAGATAGGCCACTTGTAAAAAGGGGTGGCCGACTTCATGATTCATGGCAACCTGCTCCATTTACAGCTGAATAGTAGTTATAGAACAGGAAACGAAATTTGTAGGTATCACGATGCACGAAATAATGATCTGAGTGTACGACGATTGCGAGACTATTGAAGGAAGAGAAATTATGTTGATGCCCATATGACTCGGGAAAATACTTCTTTCAAAAATCCAAATATTCATACATGAGCTAGCAAATTTCTGAGCTCGCCTAGTGTTCTGAGGATGTCTACATTAAGATGTTACCTAAGTTAGAGCACCGTTATGACTTAACTCTGAGTTTACACTATTATATTACACAGTTTCCAGTTCAGCCATCTGCCTAGGCTTCTTCCCGTCTTTTCTCAACATGCGGTTTTTTAAATCTCTACTGCTACAATTAACATCAGCCGGTAATGGGAACTACAGGAGACGAGAAGACGCAAAGAATCTTACACTTAAGGGAATAACTGCGGCTAACATTATATCTAATACTATTATATTTTAGTCGTTCTCTCAGATGAAAATGTGTTACTGATGAGCCAATATTTTTCACATTATATCCAAAAAAAATACTTAAACATGCAACGTTTTTTTCCTGACTTACTAGAAAAATATTCGTAAGATTTATAGTAAACCATTGGACAAATAAGTGTGTCTCTTCCTTGCCTTCCTCCATGAATATCTCTAGTTCAAACGAAAAGCAGGACAAAGTACCTCATTACAGACGCATAGGATACAAAGCACAGTGTAGACGATTTTGATGTAAAAGTCGCTATCTTCGCACAGGATGCCAAAACACCAGCACGCAAGCTTCTTGAGGCTTTTTGGATAAATGCCAAAAACCCTACAATGAACAGCAGGGAGGAATGCCCGGAGATCACACGTGATCTCCACCCATACCTTCGCATCGATCGCATCGTTGATGTGGGGAGGTGCGGTCGTCAACCATATGCGACTCTGATCAGCGGCTCTTCCTCAGTGGAAGGCACGTAAAAACGGTGGGTTTTTTCAAGTAGCCGTTGACCATGTGACTGCCATTTAGATTATCGTCTTTCTGTATGTGTTATTGAATCGTTTGACCTAGTAAGTTGCGTATTAGTGTACCCTTCCAGGCTCTGAAGAAGGCGATAGTGCCGAAACGTCAACTACGATTGTGTTGTATGTGTGTTATTGAAGGGAAGTAAACGTATACTGTTTAATACCCTCGCGATTGATGAGAGAAAAAACGACGAATTTATAATCCAATGCCGAGGTTAATAGAAAATCGATCTTACGGGCTATTACAAAATGTACCAGCAAAACACTTTCGACTTGTGAAGGAAGCGCTTTCACTAAGACAAGGATTGTCTTAGGCAGACGACAAATCAACTTTCTCCGCCGCTGTTTTCAATATCGAGTCGTGCCGAAGTTCATAGGACGGAAACGACTTCACGAGATGTACGGTCAACCAGAGGACAGCCAACAAGTACGAGGCATCGAAATGGATCTACTTCGCGCCGCACTACGAAGCAAGCGGAATGAAATGTACGCCAGAATGAAGAAGTGTGTGTCGAAGGAACATGTTTGTGCTTTGTATTTCGAGGATCACCTTTGGACGAGAACAGTTGGTGGGTCAATATTGATATGCAATAATATTAGGTCTAATGCCAAAATAACTCTACAACGAAAGTTCGAGAATCTTTTGAGTAATTCACATATATCGGCTTCAGGAAACCGTAAAAGAATTATTTGCGTTTCTGATAGCAGTCAAAATACGGTTGACAATGCACCAAGAAAATCCAGTGTCACCGTACTTGGGGGTATGACCATACTTGAGAGCGCGCGCTCACTATTAGAATTGAGCCCAAGCTTTGCACTATCACAACTCACTTCTAAGGCAACCGTACATAGGATCGCATGCAATTTGTATGAGCTTCAAGATCGACTCAGCTATAAGACCATGGAGGAAATATTGAATAAAAAGGAAAGTCAGTAAGTGGCAAGTCTACCACTACCTCCTTTTCCTAGAGCGTTTTTAGACAGCAGGACCCTAACGGAGAAGTTGATATGAAATTCCGCATGTTTTCGCGTGACGTTCTCAAAACCCTAAATAACTATTGCGGTAGAAACTTTGTCTCTAACCTTACAGCGGCACAAAAATGTGGTCTGCGAGAAATTAGAGATTTAATTAATTCAAAGACCATCACACTATCAGTTAGTGATAAAGGGAGAGGGTTTATAATTATTCCTCACCAGTTAGATGTTGAGA